ACTTATCCAAACCATGTACTGGGCACCTGCTTGGTCTTGTACTTCATTTTGGTAGTGTAAACATCTTCTGAGATGAGGGCTGTACCCAGCTTTTTTTCGCTTTAGCTAAATTTTACTGAATGCCTCAGCTTAGTGCCCAGCACTTGTTTGTCCATGAGCTTATATTTCATCGATTAAAATTTATACAATTCCGGCCCTCTTTTGCAATTTTTTGGCTGTTCCTTCCTCTTCGGCTAATTTTTTCCGCTCTTTTCACTCATCTCCCCTCTCTTCTCCTCTCCGCCCGTCACCCTTTCGCCACCCCCTTCTTCCTTATTCCCCTTCTGCTTTCATTTTCATATGTTTTCCACTCATGTCGCGGTTATTTCCACTTCCCGTTTTTTCATCCTTCCCTATAATCGCTCGTTCCGGTGCTCGTAATGAGAGATCAGTATTATATAATAATAGATTAATAGCACTTTCATTGTAGCCATGTTTCATTTCAGCTAATCTCACAAGTAATTGATGCTTTTGCGGCGCCAAACACATTTACCTTTGAGAAGGTTCAGCTCGCTGAATGGCTTTCTGCTCGAAAAACTGAGAAACCTGACACACAGTTTTTCAATACTGAGGTTCTTTTTCTTATTGTATTCATACTAAAAGTGATTATTAGCAATGGTAAAGAAGGGGAGAAGGAGTGGGAGAAGGGGCAGAAACAAGTTTTCGAAGAAATTAACATGTACGTATAGTGTGAGCGACGGATACATTCTTTAAAAAATTTTACTCTGGATGCACGGATTTCATGTAGCTGTGCGTGGACGGATCTGGGGGGAGGAGGGTCGATGGGTCTTTCGCTCCCCCCTCCCCCTCATCTTTAGCGACACAGGTAGCAGTGATAGAACTGTAGAAAACTCTCTTCCGCACGGCCTGTTACCCCCCACCCGCAGGATCCTCACTGCCTTCCTCCTTCTCGATCGTCGCCTCATCGGTGGACTTATTCTCTTCCCCGCCTCCCCTACCTTTGGTCATCGCCCCACCGGTATACTTGCTTTTCTCTTCCTCTCTCCCCTCCT